TTACACTTTCTAGCTACAATAGTTTGGGAGTCTGTAGCCTGATATTGTACGTCCAGGTGAATCTGTTTATTTATTTTATTGTCATTGCTAATATATTTTTTTTTCAAATCGATCGCTTGGAATCTCTTTCACAGATTCCGTATTCCGTTTCCGTTTCCGTGATTCCGTTTCCGTTTCCGGATTCCGGATTCGGTGTTTTAGTGCTGCCCCAATGAAACTAGTGCGTAATAGTGCGTAGTATTTTACTACCTATTTCACTTGTTAAGTAAAACAGTCTAGAAGACAACACTGGCCGTGTACGAGCATCTGCCAGTAAAGGCTTGATGCTCAAGGAAAGAATATTGGTACAAACTGTCACTTCTTTCAACTAAAAAGGCCCCGCCTCAATAGTTATTGAAACTAAAGTAATATAGAGAGTGGATTATTTGCAGCACACTCAAAGCATACGCGTATAAAAAACATCCGACAACTCAGCGACCCGTGTAATATACGTGCGCAATTATCATGATACGCTGACGCAATACAAGAAATTGCTTAATTCTGAAAAGAATGATTATTTCAAACTAACTTATTTAACGGCTCCAAGTTTCCTCGATCGTAAAGTAACAATGCGAAATATCTTCCTGTTCCGTCATCGTTAGCGAATTACCATTGTCAAAGTCCTTATTTTTCGATAAAAAGTGAGAACTAGAAAAAGCGCTTTGGATTTTTTCTTCTTCAAATAATGTCGCGATCGAATATGTTACTCTTTCAAGGAACTGCGTTGGGTTACTACCCTCATTCCGTGACTGTCAGTTTGACGGTTCCGCCCCTTCAAAAGTACGTTATGTCACGTGCAGTCACGAAACAGATTGCCACGTAGAGTCGCTGGCTGGTATAGTTCAGTGTTTCAAAATGGCTAAAATTGACCCAGTTTCACCTTTTTACCCCACTCTTTGATTGAGAAAAGGAATTTTGCAACGGGAAAACCTACAAGAAGTAAAAAAACCAGCCTTTAGGCTGTAAATATCTACTTTTGTGCCTTTCGAAATTGGAAATGTTTACACAATAGACCTTGTCACGGTCTTCGACGCCATCTTGACGAGTAGGCAAACGCGTGAGAAATTACAGTGTTTGTATGAGAATATAATGTCGAATAACTTCCGTAGAACGGCTGTTCTGAAAAAAATATGAATTGTAAACTAAAGCTTCACTCCTAAGGATTCTACTGTAAAAAATCGAAGGCGTTACACGCGCTAAAAGACCTAGAACCACTTTTTAAAATTTTCTTTATATTTATCTGTAAGAACGTCCCGGGGAAAATTACAGACAAATACACGGAAAATCGAAAGCAAGCCTCTGGAGAAAATTAAGCACAGGCTGTTCTCAAAATTTTTTAGCACAATCCTTTGTTTTGTAGCTTTAGTTTATATTAATGCATCAGTCAATTCCAGCTGCGCCCAGCCCGTCCTCCCCCAGGGCTACTGCGGAGCATTTGCCCGCCCTGTCAGTCCTGGGGGTGGGACATTTGCAAATTTTGTGCTGCCCAGAGGCCGGGCATTTGCCATCCCCGGGGCCATTCCCGGGCTTTTGACACGCACGCGGTTTCCTACCAGCAAGCTACACAGAGGATTTTACTGGGAAAGAAAGCACATTGGCTCATCTGTCAAGGACGGGAAAAAATTAAAGAGGTTTGTAAAGGCATGTTCTTGATTTTATGCATGCGTTTCTTCATTGCTTATGAAGCCAGAATTACAGACAGCGAAATCGGGACCTATCGACGTGAATAAATGTTTTTTGGTTATTGAATCAAATTTCTGTTGTTATTATTGGAGAAACATCCTTTCATATTCGTAAAACCGCTCATAACATATAGCTTTACAGCACTATATTAATTTTAATGTCAATAATTTTACATCAATACTAAAATATAAACTGGTGCATGTCGTCGCAGCGTGAAGTCTTAATCCTAGCACTATTACAAAGGAAGACGTCAACTGAAACCAAAAATTGCACATTAAAATTCTTAAAACGGCACTATTCGACTGTGCTTGTTGCAGTGTTGACGGAGGACAGCGCATTTGCCCTCCTTTTTCGTCCCCACCCCGGGAGATTTGACAGCTCAAGAGTCCCCACCCCCGGGAATTTGCCATCCAAGGCGAAAAATATGCTAATGCCCGGGGGTCAGCCGGGGGGGGGACTGGGCGCAGCTGGAATTGACTGGTGCATAAGTCATATTTTTTTCAGATCAGCCATTTTACGGAAATTATTCGGCATTAGATTTTCATACAAACACTGTAATTTCTCACACGTTTGCCTACTCGTCAAAACCGTGACAAGATCTATTACCGTCGGCCTACCATGAAAATTCCTGAACTTCAATGGTGTCTTACAGAGATTACATTCAATAACCCAAGCCAATTCCTTGGTGTGTTTTAAATGAATGTCTAAATGTGGGATTTAAATAGCATGACGAGAATATGGAGTTATAGCGTAGCTCTCGCGCGCGAAGAGCGCGCAGCGGAGCACCATGGGTAAGGAAATTTGATAAACTGTCCATCCGAGAAAATTTGGTTTCAACGTAGCGTACGAACGCCGACCGTCCGCACACCCACTACCTGTAAGCCAATGTCAAGTGTCCCATTAGATCTTGCTCAATTATTGACACTAGCCTGTCAGTTACGTAAGCCATCTGTATGAGAATGAATTGACAGCTGTCAAAATCAGATATCCGCTGACAATTATCACATGACCATCTCTCGGGCTCAGATGAAAAACTAGTCGTTTTGCCCCTACATTTAAGCTGATATAATATAACACACTTACCAAAATATTAATGAAACGACACTTTCCCAGGGCTGGGCTGTCAGTAGTTTAAAGCCATATGCGCAATCCAAATTAAGGTTAATTGACAGCTGTCAAAATGGGACCTGTGCAGACCACTATCAGAAAATTAATAACGTGGGTTCAGGTACACGATCTGGCATTTCGCCACTACAAGCCGGGCTGAAATGTCTTACTCACAATCACTGCCGACAGTACGTTTTGTTCGAATATTTGCCATTCTAATGAAGGTCAATTGAAAGCTGTCAAACTAGAGCATCCGCTGGCCGTCATCACCTGACTGTATCACGGGCTCATTTTTCTACCCATTGAGGTCACGTATTTTGTTTTGTTTTCCAGCAATATTTTATTTGATCACGGGCCCTATCCATCCCAAAAAATTTGGCAATCACGTGACCGTACACCGACCGCCTGACCGACCGCACCACAGGCATACTAATGTTTAATCTTACACTTTCTAGCTACAATAGTTTGGGAGTCTGTAGCCTGATATTGTACGTCCAGGTGACCATCCATGTTGTGATCAGTTGCGACAGCTGTCAAAACAGTGTATCGGCTGACCAGTACCGCCTGACCGTATTGCGCGCTCAGGTATCGACCCACTGAGTTCGAGTACTTTTTTGAAATTATCCGGTGACAAGTTACTACTTTTTAAATGATCGCAGGCTCAAGTTCAATTTTTGTTAAATGCATGTGAAATCAGGTTATGGGCTCCTGGTGAAATAAGTTATGTTCATGAGCTGCTCCATTAAAAATTTTGATTTGAAACTGACCTCGGACGCGAAAATTCATGCAGGGAAGTCGCTTTTGACTTTTCTCACCATGGTCACGCGTTGGTCACGCTCTTCTTTTAATTTTTATGCTCTGATTGGTCAGAATTTGACAGGTGAGTTCATGCGGAAAATGTATGCAGCATCTAGAAACTTGTTTTCCGATAGCTGAAGCTGTCAGAGTTTTGTGTCGCCATCTTGTCACGTCTTTAACTGTCTTTTTCCACTGGATGTACAAAATGAATACAGCTGCATCAAGATTCTTCTGTAATTCATGGCTGGTTTGTTTATTAAAGCGCTAAAAATCAGCCACAAAATGTGTCCAAAGTTTGTTTAAAAATATGCGTGGAATGTTAGAAATATCTCTTAAACAATAGAAGATAATGAGTTGAGACTTAATTTCACTTTGTATTTGACTTAAGTTTTTCTTTCAAATTCTCCATTTTTGGTTACTGCGCACGACCAAAAAAGCCCATTTTGTGACGTCATCAGTTGTGACGTCACAAAAATGAAATTTGAGATTTCAAATCGGACGAGTTCTTCAATTTTATGTGCACTATACTTCTGCAAAGTATCACACTTTCAGGTTTAATTCTCTTGGAGGAGTTTTGATTTTTTAATTGGCCACTAGAGGGTCACGTGACTCTTTACCAACAAAATGCCTATTCCAAAACTTTCGTGGAGTCAAGTGTTGTTACCTGTATTAATTTCAGTGTCATGCCTTTAAAAGAAAGGAAGTTATAGCCCCAAGAAGTCCAAAAATGTTTGTGCCTATCACGCCCTCACTCTTTATTTTGGCCGCTTTTTACCACTTTTTTTCCAAGCTTGAGATGAAAAGGTCAACGTTTCACTGTTCAACTTCTTGTATATTTTTCATGGTGACAAACGAAAGCAAATACAACGCTGTAAATAGCTTTTAAAAGAGAAAAGATGTAATTTGTAATAGAATTAAATATGGTCGATCTAAGCTGATCTTGCTTGAACCATAAAAACAAATACAGTACAGTGTGCAGAACCCATCGTTAGCATAATATTGACATATCCGATTATCTTAGAATCAAAATTTTCCTATATAAAAAAACTGAAAACTGCGAGAAAAACTATAAACAAACCTTGTAGTAAACAGAAAATCGCCAACGTTTCATCTGTGAGCGTTTTTGTTGTCATGTTATCGTTATACTGCTACAGTTAGAACACTTCACAACACATAAAAAGCTGTTTTTGTCTTTGACCTGTACAGAGAAGCTTCAAAAGTGGTTTCGACCAAATTTAAAGAAAGGGAAAGAGGTAAAAGCTAACTTGAAGGCTGCTGCTCATATCAGACTCAAATATTTTAGAAATGCCAAATCAGCAAGACATGTAAATCAAAGAACAAAGAAGAAAGTTGTAGCTAGAGATGTAAGTGATGAAAACAGTGACTGGCTGAAACGAGATATTTCCTCCATGAGCTCTCAAGTAGTAGATGGCCTGTCTAAATGCAGAATCAATTTATCAAATCATTTTCTTAAAACTCTAGAGAAATTTAAAATAAGACACTCAGGATTGTATCACCATTTGTCTTACAAAAATGCTTATCTGAACAGAGTTATTCAAAATGAACATGACTACACAAAACTAAATCCTCCAGCAAACCTGGAACAAAACTCCAAAACACCTTCTGAGTGTGAGGATAAATGGCACTCTTCATTGATAGCCAATTCTAACAACTCTAACCAAGATAATTGCACAGTGGGACAGCCTACTTCAGAATGTCAAGAGCAAATATTTTGTGCAGATAAAACTCAAGAGTTGTTAGAATTGCTTACAAACTCTAAAGATGAGATTATAGCTGTTAAGGTCCCTCAGCTTAAAGAAGTCAGACTAACTACAAGTGCAAGATACATTGATGTTCAACAAGGCACTTCTGATTGGCTTAACCTGAGGACGGGGGTAATAACAGCAAGTAAACTACCATCACTCCTGGGTTTTCATGGAAACAAAGAGTTTGATTCATCATGGTTTTATATTCTAAACAAGATAGATGAAAGTAAATGTAAACCAAAGCAATACAGAAACTTTCAAAGAGGAAACTACTATGAAAAAGAAGCTTTAGAGCACTTTCAGAAACTCTCTGGTAAGTCAGTTTATTCGAAAATATTAATAGTAACACAATACTCTGAAATTTAGCAAATAAGTATATTACCAGCATATCATGCAGTTAATCATGTACATAACATAATCAAATAGGAATACACTTACATGAACATAAATGTAAACAAAAAAATTAATGTAAGTTTGAGTAATCATGTATTGATTTCTATTTTTTTCTACAGGTGTCCCAGTCTCAAGTTGTGGGTTTTTCAGACATCCATCAGACACAAACTATGGAGCAAGTCCTGATGGTATTTCAGAAGCATTTCTCGTTGAGGTCAAGACAAGAGCAGAAAACTCTGAAGCCCCATTAGACAAAATCACAGGCTCACATATTATTCAAGCAAATTTTCAGATGTCTTGTGCAGGAGCAAATCTTGTATTTTTGCAATCTTATCACCCTGAAAAGAAAAGTTCAAATATATTTTTCATACCCAGAAATGACCTGCTTATAGATGTCTTAAAAGAAATAACTGATCATATTTTACATCACAAAATTGTAAGTAAGTGGGATTATGAAGAGAATAACCATCTCTCTGAACTTGGAAAGAACTTATTAAATACTGTCCCTAGCTTTGACACATTACGTCAATTCCGTAAGTGGGTAAACCAAATGACAAAGCATATAAAGAAGGTAGTCTTTGTTAAAACATAGTCATGTAATATCAACAGAGTTTTTTGGAACTAGTTGTAGTTGTTTTATTTTGGTCCAACTGGTTTTTTTAACATATTAACAATATGTGCAAATATTTGGAAACAGCAACCAAGTAAATCAATTCTTGAGCTTGGCCAAGTTTTGCTTAGAATTTGCCAATCTCTGATTCTTCCTATGTAGTTTTCAATGTAGATCCTCAATGTTGCAATGTCAAAGTTCTTTACTACCTCAGTCTCATCGAATTGATGAGAAAATTTCATTGGAGGTCTATTGTGTAACAGGCCTTTCTCATGACAAATATCTGTGATATTAAAGCCCTTGTCAGTCATAACTGTCTTCCCTTTTGTGACTGTATCTAGCACACATGATTGCTCTGTTATGTCAGCATCACTAATGCTGCCAGGAAATGCATCGGTACATTTGAGTAAAAAACCAGGAGGAAGGGTCCACAAACATATCTTCCCTGTGGTGTGGTTCTTGTAGTTCGAGAATGTAATATTATTAATATCAAAGTTCTCTGATTGGGAGATCCAAATTTCAGTTGCATCCCCTATGAGAGCAGTATCACCATATCCTGACTCCATAAAACATTTTGGCATATAGTCATTCAAAAATCCAGGTAATGGGGTCAGGTCAATAGACTCAAAAATGGTGCTCAGGAATACACACCATCCTACAAAAATTCTACTCATAGTTGATATACTTGAACCAGTCATCCATGCAATAACACCAAGGTCCAATGCATGTCTACAAATTGTCAAGAAACTGATAAGTTCTGTCTTTGTGTCCAGCTTTCTAAGATAGGACGAGTCGTCATTGTTACAATCAGGATAAACAATTGTGTGCAAGAAAGGCTCCAAACATTCATATAGACAATCTAATTCGGAAAGTGATAATCCTGTCATATAGTAAATTCTATCTGGGTATCTCATAAGTGCTTCATAACTAAAAGTTTGGCCTTCGAGTGCTTTCTTCATTGCATTGAGTTGCTGACTGTTGTTCGCAGCATTTTTTTCAAGTTCTGTTTGAGTCTTTGACAGCTGTTGCTGTAAATCTTCAATCAAAGCCTTTTTTCCATTTAGTTCTCTCGTCAAACTTTCCACTTGACTTTTAAGCTTCTGATTTTCTTTTTCTACGTTCGCAGCTGAAACCCGTCGCCTTTTAACACGCGGTACGGGAGTTTCACTCCTGTCTTTCGGGGGTTTCCTTGGAGTAGACCTTGGAGTAGACCTCTCGAATTTCTGCCAGTTCATTCTCGTCTTCAAGTGTGATCTACGATAAAATTTACAAACACTGACAATATTCTCTTCCACGGAAAGGTTACGATTCAGTTTTTATATCGGCTTCGTTCTCATTCAAACCAAGCTAGGTTAAAATCTGGAAAGTCAAGCCAACATCCCAGTTCTTAGGCGTTACAGACATATTTTTAAGTATATTCGGTCAAAACTAAGAGCACTGTAAGTATTCACTCGCCAATATTTTGAAAACTGGACATTGTGTCTGGCTCGAAGTGGCTTCTATCTTTCTTTCGTTGGTCTTTGGAAAAACACTGCAAATGGCAAAGAAACTCGATAAGATGATCGAGTGCAGGCATGTTTGTTATAATATTTGTCAAAGGAATTACTCATTTTCTCTTAGGCAAAACAACTCGAACCTCTGTCAGTCGATTTTCGTCTTCTTAACTGTGTACTACGATAAAAGTTTCAAACACTGACTAGAATCTTCTTCGATAAGATTACAAGTTAGTTTCTTCATCGCCTTCGTTCACAAATGAACACAATTTAAAATGTTGAAGGACAAAGTCAAAATCTAAGTCTTCAAGGTTGATAGACGTCTTGTAACTTTATTTCAACATTTTTTCCGATTAAAGAGATTTAGAGCTCCGAAATGAGTATTTTCTTTCAAATTTTGGTCCCTATAGCAAGTTACGGACCGAAAATTGACCAATCCCACGGCGAAAACAGACTTAGCCATATAATAAGACAAATTATTTAATTCAGTTCTTCCGCCAGGTACCACGCCTCAGACTTGGTATGGTGGTCTTATTACTCCAATCGATAAATCGGAAGGGGCGTAATTACCCGGCAGATTACTGAGGTATCTGTGTCTCCAGCTGACTGGGAAAATTGTTTCGTCCCATCTTAAACCAACGACTCCTCGAACAGGTCATGTCTTTAAATACACTTCACCTTCACAAATCTCAAATTGGCTTTTTGCCAAATAACCGCACAGCAGACCACGTCTTTGCACCCCGAACCTTGATAGATAAGTACGTTCATAATCACAAGGAAAAGATGTATGCTTGCTTTGTGGGTTTCAAAAAAGCTTTTGACTCGATCTGGCATGTCGGGCTCCTGCATAAGTTACTGCAAATTGATGTGAAGTATATGAAAATAATTCATTTTTGAACTGCGGTTGTAGATGAAAGTGAAGAATGATCATCGCAGTAAATTTTCCAATTTAAGAAGACGCAAGAAGAAGCCTGAAAAAAAGCAGGGCTTCAACGGGATTCGAACCCGTGACCTCCGCGTTGCCGGTGCGTTGCTCTACCAACTGAGCTATGAAGCCACACATTGGGAAAGAGGTCAATTTATTGACTTCATATCTCCCGTGAGGAGTGAAATGATGTGAAGTATATGAAAATAATTCATTTTTGAACTGCGGTTGTAGATGAAAGTGAAGAATGATCATCGCAGTAAATTTTCNAGTTTCTTCATCGCCTTCGTTCACAAATGAACACACTTTAAAATGTTGAAGGACAAAGTCAAAATCTAAGTCTTCAAGGTTGATAGACGTCTTGTAACTTTATTTCAACCTTTTTTTCCGAGGTAAAGAGATTTAGAGCTCCGAAATGAGTATTTTCTTTCAAATTTTGGTCCCTATAGCAGGTTACGGACCGAAAATTGACCAATCCCACGGCGAAAACAGACTTAGCCATATAATAAGACAAATTTAATTCAGTTCTTCCGCTAGGTACCACGCCTCAGACTTGGTATGGTGGTCTTATTACTCCAATCTATAAATCGGAAGGGGCGTAATTACCCGGCAGATTACCGAGATATCTGTGTCTCCAGCTGACTGGGAAAATTGTTTCGTCCCATCTTAAACCAACGACTCCTCGAACAGGTCATGTCTTTAAATACACTTCACCTTCACAAATCTCAAATTGGCTTTTTGCCAAATAACCGCACAGCAGACCACGTCTTTGCTCCCCGAACCTTGATAGATAAGTACGTTCATAATCATAAGGAAAAGATGTATGCTTGCTTTGTGGGTTTCAAAAAAGCTTTTGACTCGATCTGGCATGTCGGGCTCCTGCATAAGTTACTGCAAACTGATGTTAAGTATATGAAAATAATTCATTTTTGAACTGCGGTTGTAGATGAAAGTGAAGAATGATCATCGCAGTAAATTTTCGAATTTAAGCAATTGGAAAGAAGAAGCCTGAAAAAAAAATCAGGGCTTCAACGGGATTCAAACCCGTGACCTCCGCGTTGCCAGTGCGTTGCTCTACCAACTGAGCTATGAAGCCACACATTACTGTTGGTGGGTGTTTTATAACTTGATTAAAAGCTTTAATTTATCATTCATTCAAAATATTTCCCCGATTCTGATTTGCTAAAAGCACACGCATAGTTCGCCATAACCAGCTACTGGTGACCAAATTTGGAAGAATTTTGCGATTAATGCACCATTAACCGAGAAGACCTGGGGACGAGGTTGAGTTGTTTTGGTTGTGAAAACAAAAATAGCAGACATTTCATTCGTTTCAAGAGTAAGAACTAGGCGAAGTAGTAGCCAAAAACATGGCAAGAACAACAAGAAGACAACTCGAAGGCGACATCTGCTATTTGGAGAACGTTAGCGGAGATGAACAACCTTAAACGTGCGCTATCGAAGATGACCTTAACATCGATGGAAGTAAGCTTGTTTAAGCTTTTTTTTTTAAACTACGAATTATTTTGAATGAATAATAAAACAATTATCGAATTCGGCTTTCGTAACATATGAAGAATTATGGAGATCTCGGAGGGTGTTATCGGCCGAATTCATTAATTGTTAAATATTTCAACTCTACAAGCGCAATCAAAATTTCCCAAAAGCAACACTACCCCTCTGTTATGCACGAGGCGTGCGGCAAGGCTGTATATTAAGTCCACTGCTGTTTAATCTTTTTATAAACGACCTGCCTTCCGCATTTGAAAATACGTTATCTGATCCTTTTGCTATGCCAAACGATGCAAAATGAAATTTTCTTAAACAAGATTACAAAATTGCCTTCATTGATAAGATGTCTTCCCACTGTACCTGGTGGATGATGAAAATCAATCTCAAGAAGACTAAGATCATGGTCTTTCAGAAACGTGCCACGAAAAATGCTGAACTTCGCTTTCTCGTAGATGGTCAAATTATTGATGTTGTAGAAGAATACACTTATTTATAGGAACTCGAATCTCCTCTTCAGGAAATTTCTGTGTCACTGCGCACGTGAAAATATCAAAGAAAAAGCCCCTCATGCCCTATTAGCTCGAGACGACATACGAATCTCAACAAACTAAAAACATCTCTTGCTTGTAAAATATTTGATACGATAATCTCCCCTATGCTGACATATAATAGTGAAATTTGGGGCATGTATGCCAAACCAGATTTTAAGACCTGGGACAGCTCTCAAATCGAAAATACACACCTCCAATTTTGCAAACATTTCTCAGAGGTAAGCAACAAGGCTTCTAATTTTGCTTGTAAAACTGGACGTGGTCTCTATACATTTAAATAACACTATCAGTCAAAAAATCCTCAACTACATTGTATATATTAAGTCTAAAGATGAAGAACCTTTCGTTAAGTAATCTTGTTTAAAGTCATTTGATTTATACTACAATGGTAAGAGTTGCTTACGCTCTCCCTTGATGGAGATGTCAGAGTATTTCAACCTACCTGACTTCAACACTGATTTGTTAGATACCGCTATAGTAAAAAACTTCGTAGGTTTAAAATAAGAATATATACCGTATTGGCAAAAACACCCTTCACCACTCTAAAAAACTATAATTTTTCAGATCATTTAAAAGCGATTATACCACTTTTAATTACCTAGAAGTAACGAGAAGAACGGATGAGAGAAAGAAATTAATAAAACTGCGAACAAGTAACCACAAACTAATGACAAAACTTGGTAGATACAATCAAACTACCAGAGATAATAGGAATTGCCCTTTTTGTTGATCCAATCAAATAGAAGACGAAATTCACTTTCTTTTTAATTGTTCTAAATACTCATGGGCTTTGATTAGAAATAATTTTTACAAGTAAGTTAAGATTCTGATTTCAAATATTACCAAGTTACCTGTGAACGTTTTGATCAATGAACTGATGAACACATCTAATTACCATATTAATTTACAATTCAGGAAATATACTTTATCTTGCTTCGACTTTCGCGAGGAATTATTAACAAAGTAGTTTAATTGGCCAGTGATTAAATTTTAGTTCTTATTCTTAAACATAATTATAAATAGCTTTTGCAATACTGTATGTATTTGTATGGTCCTGCAAATAAAGCTTGTTGTTGTTGTATCAGATATTTCCATCACTTCCGTTTTGGACTTTAGGGTGTGCCATTAAAGAATCGATAAATCCTTTCAAACATGAATGACGCACAGCCAATTTTAAATTCAAAGAAACAGTGGTAAGCAAAGTGATGGAGGCTCAATATGAAAAACGGTTAGTATGATGTTATTTTGGTCTCCTGGCGGAACTGATCAAGAAGTTACCTTTATTTCTCTCTCGTTTCTGACTAAACAATGCATGCCCAACCTTGCCTGGCATATCACCAATGAGTGACCGAAATAGATGGTAGCCAAATACGGAGTACCTAGGGCACTCTAATTTCATTGTCAGTTTCTTTTGTTGACTTATAGCTATTTGGCACCTTGTTGTGTTACATCCTGTTTCACGGGTTGAGGAAGAGTACAGTCCCTCTATACCCTTAGTCGCAAAATTCAGGAACGTGTGAGCTTAAGCCAAAATTTTCATGTTTTCCGCAGTGCGTGGAGTTCTCGATACGATAAACAAGTAAAAAAAAAACACGACTGCGAGCTCGAGACCAATTTGTCATCCATGTTATCAATAGGTAATCAAATGGTAAACTGTTAAAATTGGGGGAAATTTTCAC